TAATTTTGAAAGGCAGAAAAGAAGATGTTTTCATACACCACCATTCCGCCAAAATTATAGTCCCTGCTAGTTTTCAAACGCAGTTTACCATTTCTATTTAAAGTTGTACAATTGTGATGAGGAAAGAAAAATATGGTCTTTTAAATTCCTCACACCTCAATATATAAGACATATAAGCAAATATACTTTGAATGTTTCATCTAGTCAGAAACCAGAGAAGAATCCTACCTTAAATATAACGCAATGAATTAACTATTTCGTGAGCTTCGTTTATCTGTGTTGCAACATACCATTATCACCTGGGGTTTATTTTTCCCTGTTGATTCCAAACGCAGTAGCATGCCCAACATACAAACAATATCTAAACCGTGGTCGGCTACTGACAATTAAGTTTGTGACACATTAATATAAACAATCCAATTTAAGAGTCAAATTATTGCATATTCTATGGTTTTTATGATGGATTTTTTTGAAAATGAACTTGTCCTCCTGATTTACGTTCCATAAAGAAATGGCCACGGGATTTCTTCGATCATTTTATTTTATTCCGCTACTTCTGGGAAGGGTCTTGTTTGCTCTTTTTCACAATATGCATTCTTTAATTGAACTACTGAGCTGAATTTCTGTTTGTTCTACTCTAATTTTCTTAAACCGTTGACCAACAATGTCTGTTGCTCAATCCATTCATGTTTCATTACATTTTAAAATACATTGTATGTTCTCGAAATCAAATTATCAATGACACTTAAAAGTTCGTTGCTTAGCACTATCTCATTGTTTAAGGTAAATATAAAAAAAAGTATGAAGCTAGAGGCCATCAACTCTTTACTTTAAAAAATATATATAAAAAATCCATAAGTTTATATATATTTAGAAAATACATGTATAGATCCAGATGGACAGACATACAAACGGTCAGTCATAATGAAAAATATGAATAATTTTGATAAATTGACCAACACACTATGTTCTAGTAGATAACTCTACATTCGTCTATGATCAATTTGTCTTTTTTTTTTTGTTTTATTTCTGGACGTAACACAAGTGACATCTGTTGACTGATAGCCAGCAGCATGATTTACACATGCAATTTTTTTTTTAATGTAAACAACTCAACATCAGGCAGTATAGAAGAACTGAATAACTAAAATACTGAAACAAAACTCCACTCACCTCCAAATTTATATTCTTGTGCCAGGTGTGGCACAATGAAGAGAAAAGAGCCCATGCCCATAATAATAGAACCACAGGCAACAATACGGGGTTTATGAAGTCTGGCGCCGATAAAACTAACGAATAACACCACTGCTAAGGCGCCAAAGTCTTGCGAGCTGGCAACCACTGCTGATTTTGTGGAAGAAATGCTGAAGTGTTTTTCGATGGCGGGTAGACCTGCATTGGCAATACCATTCACAGCAAACCCCTCCAAAAAACACATGATGAAGACCCACAGAACAAATAGGACCATCTTGTTCAGAAACTGTAAGCATCTGCAAAGATAAGAAAACAATGTTATTTTTCGGCATTATGTACATGGCGCTTTTTTTGTAATGATAACCGATGTTTCGAGATTTCGAGGGTAAAATACTAAAAAAAAAAATACTTCCAAACCACTTCGACAAATCCATAATATTCGAGATAGCGAAGTTGAACTGTACTTACTTTGGTTTGCAGGATCCCCATCCGATTCTTGTGTCCACTGCGTCTGCCGTGTCCTCTTTTGTCGGAAGCTAAAAAAAAATGAAATAAAGAAAATATAAAATAAACCATATATTTTAAGTGTAATAATAGTGATATTGTATATCTCAGGTTAACAATTTGATTTGAAAAAAATAAAATAAAACGGGAGAAAATTCGGGAAAAAAAGCTAATTACCCTAAAAAATTTAGGCTTCCTGAACTGAACACATCCAAAATTGACAGATCTAGACATTTTGTAAACTTCAAGATGAGCTGATTACGGAATGAACAATCACAAACCTTACACCCCGTGAGTAATTTGTCAAATCAGAAAAGATCAAGAGATGAGCTACATGTTACAAAACAATTGACATCTGAGTAATAATTATAGATTGATCTACAATAAAGTGATAAATTTACCATCAACTATCCTGTGGGCAGCCAAATTATTAGATCGATACTTGTGTGTTTTGTCTAAATTCAATTGTAGGAAAAATTTTAAATGTTCGAAATTAGTAAAACGAGAGAGGTTTAAACTTGAGAAATGTTTATGTCTAATTTACAGTGTTTGAAATGGACAGTGGCATAGTCCTAAGTTTTTATGCTACTTCTCAGTAGTGAAGTTGATAGTAAAACTAATAAAGCTTTTTTTTTTATTTTTGTAAGCACAAGTAACATATGTAAGCGAGAGAAATTTCCACTCGGCTGTTAAATATTTAGCATACTTCAGGGAACGTAATCAATCGCTTTAACTATCCACGGTTAATAAAATAATGAATATCATTCGATAGTTGCGATATACACATTTTTTTTTTCATTCAGAAAGCGTTTTTTTTAGCAACTTGAATAATAATTTAGTGAATTCAGCTGTCAATCATTTGTCGCGCTTAATCGTGTTATCATATAAACAAAAACACAATAAAATCCGTAATCAAATTCATTACTGTTAAAATTATCAATTACTCGAATTAAGAGAATAAAAAAAAAAAACTTCTCTCATTAAGTTTCTTGTCATAGTTTTAAAACTACTTGATGAAAATCGCACGTCACGTAATTTTAATTCTATAATTGACAACTTTTTTTACCTTTCCATTTTTGTCCACCACTGATATTTGAACAACTTCAGTGCCTTCAAACGCTGCGTTTACAACACCTCCAGAATTGCCTTTTTCCATCTTCTGAAAGGAGAGAAATACAACTTAGTTTGAATCATCTACTCCTTTACTTTGCAAAATACAATTTAAATATCGAGAAAGAAAAAACAAATCCCTCCTCTCACCAAAAACATATCCTAATTGTCTTAGAATTACGTTATATTTTATAATGAATATTTTTATTTTTTTTATTCTTTTTAATGCACGTCCTAGTCCAAATAATTAATACAGTAAAACTCGGTTATAACGAAGTCACTGGGATCTGGAAAATTACTTCGCTATATCCGTAATTCGTTATATACGTATAAGGAATTCATTAAATTTGTGTAGTTGGGGATCCAAGATACCGAGTAACCTCGCTATATCCGTGTTCGTACTAAATGAGTTTTATTGTATATAGTCAATTTGGTACAGTATTGACTAGTCTTAATCTAGGTGAAGACTGGGGGGTATATTCCACTCAGGTGAAAAAGCGCTTCATTTACATATTAAAAGGGCCAAATGAAATGGGAAAACATGGAGAAAAGTGATAAGTATCTTAAAATGATTCTGAAAGAAATAGGAAAAACATTAAGAGTGACAGCGAAAAGCTTGAAATAAAATCCAATAGACATAACTCTAAAAAGTCAACTCATAAAATGTCATTTATTTGAAAAATAAGTTGTGTTTAAAAGTTATTTATAATCAAACTACCATAAATCTGAAATTCGGTAAGCAAGGACCATTAACAGCTAAACTGCTAATAAAAGACGTTGCATTTTCCAAACATATGAAAACAAACTCAGGTCTACTCGTAAGACACACCCTTATACTTAGAAGCTACCCACCCATATCGAGATTACAGTTGTAATAGAAATCCCAGAGATAGCATGAAAACAAGGTTGGAAAGGTCACATTGTTCCCCTGTCAAAAGCAAGACTAAGAACGTATTTGCTGAAAGGTGTGTGCAATAGACAGAGAAGTTCAAAGAATCAAGGAGAGGGGCATCACAGACGTAATAATACCCACACAGCTGTAATCCAAATACGTGTACAAAGAGGTATTCCGTGTCAAATATAATATAAAAATAACAGTCTTACATATTTGTGAAAAATATGTCGGTTAAAAAATGCCCCAAATATGGACTGTGTTTGTAAACCATGCAGGTCTTTTGAATGAAATACGAAAGGTTGACCAGTTGAACCCCCTAACATTAACTAATTTTTTGCTACCCTGTCTCGGTTTTTAAAAAAACGATCGCACTCAGAACATGTTCTTTGTAAAGAATTGGTTTGGGGACAAAAATCTAGCGAGGAATATTACTACTTAAAACATTTTTGTTATGTAATCCTTTGTGTTTTTAGTACATTATATGGCATAATGGATTTGGATATTTAAAACCTGTACATTAAGTCACCTGTAACTGTACATTAAGTTGACAAAACTCTCAATTCTTAACTTAATCGACAGCGCTTTGTCAACTTAATGTACAAGTAAAGGTAACTTAATGTACAGGTTTTAAATGTTGAAAACAATACATAATTAAAATAGGCAATTAAATTTTTAATTTAACGCACAATCATGCATAAATATCAAACAATTGTATATGAAATGTTCAACAGTATATCGTCTTTGGAAATGACGAATCCAAAGCAAAAAAGACACATGTGTAAATCCTGATGCTTAATAACTCTAGAACATCCACATCAAGAAGTTTCTTTATCATAAAACAAACATCTCATCCTCTTCACAAAATTTGTAAATGAATGCTGGACGTGGTAGATCCATTCCATGAATGTTTAAAATATATCTAACAGCAATTTAAATTTTAAAAGAAAAAGGCTTATTTCTAGATGAAATAATAATCTCACTAGATGCACTGCAGGTGGAATCATTTTTGGGACAGAGATCACAAATTTTATCTTTTCATACACTTGCCATCAACTGAATCCCTCATATTTCCATGAATTATTCCATTTACTCTCTCCTGCTATTTATTGTTGGTTCACTTGTAGGATCAAACTGTAATAGATTTGTGGCCTGTTTTTTCTGTTATAAACTGTTTCCTCAAACTTCATACAAGGGGGTCGCCGTTATTGTTCACAGAGAATGTTTCGTATCACAGTGTCCCTTAAATCCTGATTGTTAAAAAAGATTTGCGATAGCTTTTGTCAAAACTTGAACACTAACTTCAGAATAAAACCTACTTCTGCTTGTGTCTACCTACTGTAATTTTGGAGAAATATGTATTACTTTCTTCATTCGATGAGGACATCTTCACTCATGAAGCTTTACATGGGAAGTGGTAGAAATCAAGAGCTATCATTTAAATGTAAATTTACCTGGCACTGTCCATTAAGTTAAACAATACAGCTACTGTTTTCACCCCCACTCTCTGGATCAAGTGTGTTACGTTCATAGGAAATACATAACCATCACCTGGGACAGTTTATTAAGTTAACAATAGAGAAAATGTTTTAAGTAGGATAAAGTTCTCAAACTGTCCATTCTGTGAGAGAAAAAACTATTCTCGGCCCTTCGGGCCTCGAACAGTTCTTTCTCTCACAGAATGGACAGTTTTCGGACTTTCTCCTTTACATAAATGATGAAAGCTAATGATTATATATTTCATTGATATTTGCACATAAACATCAGAGTTAGTAAACTATCCAAGTGCAAAACAGAACTGACAGAGTCAGAGAGTGATACCAAATAGTTACCTTTCTCAAAAATGAAGTAAGACAGTATCTATAGACAATGGAGAAAATATAGAAATCTGAAAACATAACTGATGGGAATAGGTGCCATGTAATCTTCGCCTAAGTCTTCAAGGGAGTAATGAAAAATCGCTCTACTAAGACCCTATCCTTACTTTTTACAAAAGCATTAACTGCTGTTGGGGAGAAACTCCAGTCGCATTGCTCTACAGCATATTCTAGAAGTTGTGTAAAACAGGTGCAGATATTTAAAAAAAAAACCTCAAAAGAACTTTTAGACAAGTTAAATTCGCTAATTTTCCAAAAATTCAGTAACATCACAGCGTACGACTTTTCGAAACCTTATTCAACCAAATTAAAAACTAGACTTTTTTTAATATAAACAACTGCTTCTTCAATAATAATTTTGTTTTTTAAAAATGCTTAAATATTTTCCTATCTTGTCATCAACCTACTTTTCAAAGAGAACAAATGATTAAGAAAATATGAATTAAAAAATTTCCTATCCATTTTTTTCAAAACATGTAATAAGAAAATTGTGGAGATAGAATAAACTTTAATTCAGTAAAGAAAATGAAGTAACTTCATTTTGATCAGAGGATTTGCCTGTCGTTACAATGTGTTGCATTGTAATGCGGCAGAGTGCAGATGGTGTTGCATTGTATTGCAGCAGCAAGCAGATGTTTTAATTACACATTCCCCACCATCCACTTCCAAAGTCTTCCTATATAAACAATTTTCCCTTGGGATTGATTGCATGTTGGAAAATTTGCATAATGTAATTTTACGTGAAGTTCGATAACTCAAATAACGTCCCTTTGAACAACGCAGACAACACGATCTTTGTTTTTAGCTTTATATTATGCAAATGTTTAGACAAAGCTAATAAGTAGCAAGCTTGAATACTATATAAGACTTCAGAGATTCGCTCACATTTAAACAACAGTGAAAGGCGGAGTAAAGAAAGCTATTCGCCTGTTAAGATTGCTCGTAGCATGAGTTTATCTCACTTACCAAGCACTGCTAGGCAGCAATATAAGGCGCTTTTCATTGTTCTTCTAATTAAACCTGTCCTGTATTTGAATTATACTGTACATAGACGATATATATGTAAAGGATTACACTGCAATATATTGCAGAACAGTTGCAGTTTAATCTATTTAAAATCAGAATTGAACGAGAAGAAAAAAAATCATTCAGTACTCAAATTTTCTCGGAATTGTTCTCATATGCACTTGCTCCCAATCCATTCTACAGAAAGAAAAATCAACAAAAGTAACTGTTCACTGTACCGTGATGAGAACTCAGTATTGTTATCAGCATAAATTCCATTTATCATAAAAAAAATTCACTCATCACATCAATCAAACAAAAAAATTTCTCTTTTTTTTAATCGTTCAGCCCAATGTTCAAGAAAATAATGCAAAACAAAAATTGGACTTCACTTTTTTGATGGACATGGCAAAATTATTCATCGGTCAAAGAGGAGTTTTCATATCTTGTGGATGTTTTCACATAGCCAAAACCAGTCGTTCAAAAAAGTAGCATTGCAAAACTTTGTCGAAAAGTTCCTCGACATGAATACAGATTGTTAATTTTAGATTCATTGCAAAGAGAAATAAAAAAAATATTTTTGTCAGTTTTGCCAACATTGTCATGTAGGTTCAAAAGAAGACCTTTAAACTCTCAAATACATGTATCTAACTCTTGAACAATAGTTTCAAGTAAACTCAGATGCTTCGACATTATTGCCCTGGGGACAAGATAAAACCTCAATAAACAGTGACAGAGGTCCGGATCATTGGAAGTAAATGTATATATCTGTTCGAGTAACTACATGTAAAAGATTTTTTAAGGGGCTATAAAATGCAAGTTACGGTATTTTGCTCCGCCGCGTCTTCAGTATACCCTAATCAGGCGCGTAGCCAGGCGTACGTTTGTACGCACAAACGTCCACATCATTTTCAAAAAAAAAAGAAAAGAAAAGAAAAAAAAGGAAAAAAAGAAAGAAAAGAAAAGAAAGAAAGAACATAAAGAAAGAGAGAAAGAGAATATTGTAAGCGTACTCATCATTTTTGCAAAATATTAGAAAATAATTTTTTAAAATAAAAAAAAAATACTAAGAAACAATTAAGAATTAACGATATAATACTGTCGAATATTCCTGAGTATTTCACACAATGAAACCCAAGTCGGCTCGAGCTCCCTTAAAACAAACGATGATTTTATTTAATGCCAAGAATTTCAATTTCTATTACTGGAAATGAACTTCCAACCGTAATGCTTAACTTCTGTAACGATAACCCCCCCCCCCCCCTTAAAAAAAATAATTATCCTATCGGATTCATGCGAGACTTCAAAAATCATAATTCAGCCTTATTTATGAACATCAAAAATTGAAAAAAATTGGTAAAATTCAGTTTAACCTTTAAAAAATATAAGTAAAAGTACCTTAAAACCAACAGTATTTGTACATGTTTTTATTATTGTTGCAAAAGTTAGATACCCGAATTGTGAATATTTTTGAACATTCATTTTAAATTGTATACAATATACATATGTAATCTGCAATTAAGAAAATGAGTTGAAAAGAATTCTTCTGTCTTTGTTATTTTCAATCTTTAGAGATGTATTTTTAACATTAATGTAAGCCTGACTATCAGTCAATTACGTGATCTGTCTAAACCAGTCAACCACTCTAGATAACCAACTACCGTATGCAACCATACGTATTTTGTCGAGCTTCAAAGGTCTATAATTGTTTTAGTGGGTTCGTCATGAACAACAACCCAAATTTTATTTAATCAAATGACATTTTCCTTTATTACATTTTGAGTGTTTTTTTTCAGTCCGCATTTTGTACAAGAAAAAAATAATAAGAACAGACCTCAATTGTGGCTGCGTAACAAACTGAAAAAATGAAAGAAAAATGCTATCAGAAGGCTCAAATATGCACATCGGAAAGTTGGAATTTCCAACTTTAAAGTTGGAATTACCAACTTTAAAAAAAATATTGCGTCACTAATACGCTTCCGAAAATTCACAAACAAAAAATGCTTTCAAATATGGGAATCGGAAAATTCACCAGCTTTCGTCCCCTGCATGGGTCCCCACCAGGGCTTCGTCCAGGACCTATTTGGCCCTTAAGGCGGCCCCCAACTCCCCCAACTCCCCCAACCCCGCCTTTTCAGACGTCCACATCAAAAGTACCCTGGCTACGCCCCTGCTAATTACTTAAACTTTGCTGAATTTAGCGATTGTAAAATTGCAGTAGTGCAGTGCATCTTCTGTACATGTACAAAGAACAATATTTATTCGGTGTCCTCGGGCTAAACTGTCAAATCAAACTCGTATAAAGTAGAAGAATGTTGAGAAAATGCAGGAGACTGCAAGTTAGAACATTTGCACTGTTCTAGGTCACATAGAAGTCTTGTTCAGTCTGATAAATGTATCATCTTTTTAAAATTTTCAAACATTTCAAAAATTCTTTTTCCTTGTAAATATGAAGTTTAGAACTAAAGGCTGGAAAACAAGATGTTTACTATAAACTTAAAGTCAGTACATATTTGATGATATTACCATCAAGTGTTTGCCTTCTTTGAAAGCTTCTGTATTTTGTGACGCTTCACACTTGACCTGTTTTTGTGAAAGTACAGCTGATTTTAGGTGTCCATCGATGGATATTTAATTCTCCAATTTTATTTGGTGTCTCAAATACAATTGTTCGGGGGTTCTTTTCTGCCATTAGAGTTTCCTTTAATGACAAAGTAATGTCAATAATCCCCATACCATTCAAATTTTACCATTATTGATGTGTTTCTCAAAAATACAGTATCAGAGCTCCTATGTAAAATAACATAATCAAAATACCAAAATAAATGAATGTAAATATGAAATACGTCTATGAATCCATGTTTTAACAGTTGTCATTGTTTGTTATGACTTATTTTATTCATAGTCAGGTTCGAGTAAATATTTAGGTACAAGTCACACGTTAAAAATGTTTGTATGCATCACCTTTAATACATGACGGTGCACTCCACACACATATAAGGGATCGGGGCATTTGTAATGGTTTAGCAGAGGAAGGTGCACAAAGGAAGAAATATTTTCTTGGCATGATTTTACACCACTAAAGAAAAAAAACAAGTATTTTCTAAGGAGCAAGAAACCTTCAACTTCTATTTAAAAGAAGAAAGTTTTAAATATGTGAAGTGTTCATTAAAATCAAACAACAAAATAAGACAAAATATCCAAATGACTATATAAAAGCGAATAAAAATAAAAAAGATTTACCTTTGGTATTTATTCCCGTCCAATTTGTCACATAAATGTGGGTGATTCGCTTGAATGCTCACGACCTCCGACCTCTTCGCTATCTTTGATGACTTGTCTAATCTTTCAATATTTTTTTTTCCAAAATGCAGGAGTTTTTTCCAAACTCTATTGCTGATGGTAATTTAGACACGGTCTGAACAATCGATTAGATTTAAACAATTTTTTCGCAAAAATTTTTATCTCCTAAAAAAACTTACGCTCATTTATTCAAACCCAAATACAGTATTTTCTCTAAACTAGCATTACTAGTACTAAACCAGTTTTAGTAATTTTAAAGACATACCTAAAATTATTCTAGATCTTTCCACTCTTCTGTTTATTTACAGATGTCAATATTCGTCAGATTCAAAAACAAAACTATAAACACCACCCGCAAGAGGTTGTACCCTCACGCCTCAGCAAAAATTTTCGCTTTACATCTGACTTTTATATTGTCGATATAACAGTATACATGTACGTCTTGAGTTCTTACTGTATATTTTTAAATTTATCTTTAAATACCCTTTAATGACACAAAATTAGCATCTATTCTAACAAATGGATTTCAATTATTCAATAACATGTTTCAAAAAGATTTATGCGTGTTTATTTGCTGCTTAAAGTGATAGTCCCTCTCGAGAATGTTTTAATTCACATGGAGACGCCACCAATTGCCGGTGGAGGGCTGCAAATTTTTACCTATACTCGGCACTCAGGGTCATTTAGCATTGAGGTTTCATTTACTACGACACGGGACCTCGGTTTAGCGGTCTCATTCGAAGTACCGGTCTCCACGTCCAACAGTAGGATCGAACCCGCGACGTAAAGATCAACTTACTTCGCGACTGTAGAGCAGACGCTCTAACCACTGCGCCACTTGATCAGCTAAGTTGATCCTTCCCTACTCAATGACCCTGAGTGCGTATAGGACAAAATTTGCAGCTCTCCATCGGCAAGTGGTGGCGTCTCCATATGAGTGAAAAACTCTCGAGGGGGACGTTCAACAAATACAATAAACATACAATCCATCAAAATCACTACGACGTCGTCAGTGTTGCGCCGATAGTTGATTTGTTAGATAAGTTTATCTGAGAGGAAAATGTTATTTACAGAGATATTTCATTGAATTTTTTTACATTACTTTAAAAATGTTGACCATGATCTATGCCAACTTTGGAGTCTTAGTGAAACGAAAGATATCGAAAATATTTGCGTTTTTCTGAGACAACCTCGTATTCATTAAATACTTCTCTTAAAAATGCAAATATGTTCGTTCTGTGTTTATACTGTATCTAGCGTTTCCTACACCTGTTAATATATAAAGTACCCGCTATCGCCTGTGTATGTGTACTCATTTATATTTATTTTGTACTAATTACTGTGACCAAAGAACTTGGCACACAGCTGTCACATATATCACCTATATCTCTTTGGATAGATTTAACAATTTGTTTTAAATGAACATCGTTTTATTACAGTCTATTAAGTAAATAATATAGGTCTATCGATTCTGACAAGTTGAGTCTCTTTCTTTAAAGCTATATTCTTTAACTTTTTCGCAGCCTTACAGACCCCCCCCCCTCTCTCCTTGAGTTGTGAATTAACCATTTGTATTTATAGATGTATCATAATTGATTAATTTAAAAAGTTTTTTTTAAATAAATTTAGAATAAGAAATTGATTTTGCTTGGCTCCATATTTGCTACAGGCATTAAAGCGTGGAAGGAAAATCAATGGTGGGGTTAATCAGGGCCTCAATATAAAAAATTAACATACTATTTTACAGTTTTAACAAGAACCCAGGTACTCAATCCGAAAATCATCTAATTAGCTGATTATAAAAAATTGACTTATTTCACATCCTTAATTATTATTCATTCATTTATTCAATTACTAGTACTATTTCATCATTCCTACTGATATAACCATAGTACTAGTAATATATCTGAATTGAAATGGTATCAAATTTTGAATTATCATATTTTGTTTTTAAAAAAAAGGCAACAGGTAATCTATGTCAGGGACATTTTATTCTGATACATGTCCTTAAAGCAATGTTATTCAAGAACAATCATATTTTTGTCCATGCAGTCCTCTATTCCAGTTGTCCTTCTTTGAAAGCAAAGTATATTTCCTCAATCTTTTTTGATAAGCTAAATATGAACAACAATCTTCTTTTTAACTTTCTAGCACATTTTTGACAATGTTGAAAATGTTAAGGGATTGTAAATACGAATCACGTTGAACCTTCTTGGAATTACTTTTTGTCTGTCAGCTGAAACAACCATTTTTATTGGTTCATTCATGACTGATGACCTGTCTCAGTGAGCATGCTCTGTAGCAGAAGATCCGCCCTTTCTTCAATATAAGGCTGGTGTACCCAGGCAGATGTAAAGAACATGACAGAATCTCTACTGTCAGCATGGCAGACATTTTCATAGATAGACTGCTTAAGTTCCAACTCTTTCTTATACATTGTGGACAATTCTTTGGCTGCTGATACTGAAATAAAACACAGCTACATCATACATGTATAAATTTAACAATGCTGGGTAAAGTAGTTAATGCTTTCGATATGAAAATACTGTGAGCATTCAAGTTTCCTTAAATTGTTCAATAAATACACAAATCCAGAATGTGCCATTAAAAGGGATATTTCACAAATGAAGGTCATTTTTAAAGTAAATCTTGTCTTCAAAAATTTAACCACTGCCTTACCAAAGTCTAGTGTGGACCAAGTTTGGAACAGCACTTCTGAATCATTCTTGTACTGTGACAGTGTCTGAACTCCTTGAAACTTTGCTGCAACTGTTCCAATCTTTAAAACTACTTTCTTCTGTGCAAAGATAAACAAAAATACTAGTATATTTCCAGTGCTTTAGTTTTTTAACCGTTTTACGGAAATTATTGAGTGTATCATTGGATTATATACATATTGTGAACTTGCTACTGTAAAACTGATAAAAATGACTGTTATTTAAAATTTTCAAGTTTTCATTATACATGTAAGAAGTTAAAATTCTGGTATTTTATTTCGCATGTTTTAAAACACAACCATAAAACATACTTAAGTAAATCATTTTGAAGTGACATGTTAATACATTTATATAATTTTACCAATTTTTGCACACATATTTTGCTCTGCAAGTTTTCACAAAGAGGAAAATAAATAAGACTCTTATATTCATTTTTTGAAAGTCAGCTGAGTTATCAGGTTTCTCTGTATTTTCTTATATTTCTTCATATTACTTAAGTAATCTTTTTAAAACAATAAGATATAAACAGTCCAACCATATCATGTAAATAAAAATATAAAATTATGTATACAATTATTGCAAATCCTATCCAACTTGAAATTAAAATTTTCTTGTGTCAATTAAACATGCCACTTTTCGCCAATGACAAAAACTCAGGAGAGACAAATATATTTTTCTACCATTCTTCAAAACGGTTAACTTTTTATTAAACAGTTGCAAAATGCCCCTCGTATAATATGTTGCATCTGTAAAACTGAATACTAATTAAAATTCCTTTAAAACAAAAACATAAAGCAAATCATTTTGAAATGACATGTCAATTTGTTTATATAATTTTACCAATTTTTGCACACAGCTCTGCAAGTTTTCACAAAGAGACTCTAACTTCAGAATGTCTGTTGAATTATCAGGCTTCTCTGTATTTTCTTCTTCAGATTGTAATCTTAAAAAAAATAAAATGACCTTCAATTGTTTAAAAAAATTAAGTTAACTAAATTCATTTTATATCACTTATTGGAAATCTAATCCAACTTGAGTTGTCTAAATTAAATATGCCACTGCAGATGACAAAAAAACACAAGTAGCTATGCATACATGTACTGGTAATATGCTTGAAATAAGTTTAATACAGGTTCCATAACCTGTTAATCAGGAAGAACTAAAATTCTTCAAAACTGGTAATAAACACAGATACTGTACCTAAAATGTACCTAATTTGGATTTTATTCGTGTATAAAATGTACATTTTGGACTATTCACAATTTGTCAGATTTTCTTGTATTTCAATCTGTCATTTTTCAAAGGCAATTTAAAATTTATTAGAAGACATGACCCATTAAAATATTTTCAACAATTTGTGCACATTAATTTCACAAAGCAAAATAAATGTATACAGCGTTTAATATTTGTTACACTCAAATGTTAAAATAGCATTAATTCAATAATTAATCTTATTTAAAGAAAATAAAAGTTACACGAAACTTGTAAGTTTGATATTTCCCCCCACCCCCACCCCACCCCATCCCGCTAAATGATTTTTTTACGTGTCATTTCATCAACTTGTTGCATATAAAATAATAAAAATTGTATACATTACAGGAAATCACTTTCCGGAACGCACACAATACACAGGTAATCAATATGTAATTACATGTATCATGTAACCAACAACTACATAATATTCTTGTGAATTTCGAATAAACTATATATATATGTGAAGAAACTGATAAACTATCATTATTTTAACAAAAACTGAATTTCTTTTTTCAAAACACATGACTCTAGGTGTATACAACTTTGTATTACAAATTATCAGTAATAAAATTTATATACACATGTGATGTCCAGTAGAGGCCATCACGCGACCACCTCTCTCTCTCTCTCTCTGAGTGTCTCTCTCTCTCTCTCTCTCTCTCTCGTACATTTTGTAAATACAAAAAAGTTTAGGATGTGTGTAAATTAACATGCTTAATTTATATCATAAACCAAGTTACTGGTGTAGAAATTCTGATGTTTGCTATTTCTGTTATGATTTCTGTTCCTTCCCGATTAGTTTTTGTCCATTTCTGTATAGCGTTGTGTAAATCAGCACATCCATCTTTAATCTGTCTCTCATTCCCTGTCAGATTTGCAGTTTTACTAGATTTTGCTACATCTGAAAATAATTAACCTGTCAATAAAAATATTGAAACTCCACAATGTTAATCATTAATTGAACATTAAATAATTTCTTTGAATTAAATTTCAATTATTAAATCTCCCTTCAATTAATTAAAAAATCTTTTTTAGGCCTTTTTTTTAATAGTGCAGGTCTGTTTAAAGTATCATCACATCATTAGACAATAACTTTAAGATATGAATGAGTGTTTGTCAATAATAATGTCTTAGTGAAACAAACTGTGAATATATAGCCTAGGGGGAAATATATCTAATCAGATATCAACATCATAATTTTAAGATAGATTTTGCCTTTAGTACTAATGACAGAGAGTTTTCACTTTTGTTTTATTCTTGAAATGTATTATTGAGCAGAGGGGAGTAACATGGTGGGGAAAAAAGACAAGAAATAACAGTAAATTGATGATATACCTGTATGTTTATTTGAAATAGAAATATAGATTCCTATCGTTATTTTCATATGATTGAAACTCTGATAAATTATTGTTAAATTTTTCGAAGGTGTGCTAAAAAAATATGGCACACTTCACCATCCAGTGCAGAGCTTACACAAAGTATAAAGTAATGACTTCTAGGTACATTTATAGGCACATTTTAGGTATGCCTAGAAGGTACACAATTAACACAATGTTACATATTAACCAGTTAACTGTAGTACCCATACTGTTTAATCGTACAGGAGAGAAAAGTTTATCCATGCTAATCTGACCATCTTCTTTTCTGGACATTTCACCATGCACCTCTATTTCTTATTTTCTTAATCTAGCACCTGTAGGCTGTACCTCACATGTTTTTTTGCGAAATTGAAAACCGGTTGTTGAACGGGTCAAGCTATGCTCGTACTTATTTCGTAGAGAATACCTTTTCCCGTAAAGGTTTTTTGCATTCTTTCGAATTTATGCAAAAATTGATTAAATATCTCTGATTTCATTTTATTTGTTTTTTAAGATATATTATTCATTGCACCTAGAGAAATTATCTCACACGAATTATTTTATGTACCGTTTATCTTTCTGGAAACCGAAAATGAAAATAGAACCAAAACAAAACATGAAAAAGAAGAAAAAAGTTTATAGAGTTTTTAAAGTACAGAAGACTTTTTAGAAGATAGAGTCAACGATGTCGTCATTTATTAATACTGTATCTTCAATAATGAACTCGTTGAAATGGACAAAAATTGATGCCATAACCTCCAAAACTATTCTTATTGGGATGGTATCTTTGATGTTGATGGTAGTCATTAAGAAAATATTTGATTTCTGTTTGTGGTACCGACATTACATAAAAATAATGAAACAGGTCCCTGGTCCTGAAAATACACACTGGCTTTATGGAAATTTGCATCTGGTAAGATGTTACTTATTGTTTCATTGATCATTCATGTTAGCAGATACAATATACCACAGAGTAAGAGATCCATCCAGTAATAAAATCATATTTAGGGGAGGGGAGGGTTGGTTACAAACTTCAGCTAACATTTCTTACAATAAATGCGTTCCAATAGAGAGTAGGTTTGTCCTACAGTGAGGGCACCTAGAGACTTGGTTTAAGTTTATTATCCCATGTAATATGGAGTTGGAGGGGATATGATGCACTTGTATGTGTGTAAGTTTGTCCTTGTGCAAGACAGAAGTGCATCTGGATCAATTTCAAATGCTGCTTTGATTTATTTATCTATATACATGTACTATATAAAAGGGTAGGCCTATGCTTTGCTTTGCAGTATCCTTATGGTCTAGCAAGCATTCCCTTAATTAACTTGGCTTGGGCAAGGAATTCAGTTCAACTTCTACTTTGTTACTTGATTCACATTTTAATGGGTAAAAACAGCAAAAAATAATGTGTAAAATTACAGCTAGAGTTATGCACTATTTTAATTAGGACTCTACTCTGAAGTGATCTATCTGGTCATGTGTCTGTCCATTGGACATAGTATATCTTGTCTCCTCTAGGCCCATTTCAAAGTTCAAGGTTGATAATGTCTCTGTAAAACACTGTCTGGAGAATATTTTCGTTGCTGATGGCCCTACCTGGTTCAAACTCTCCTTATATATAGAGTGTCCTTGGGTACAGGAGGCACAGTATTCTTGGGCTAAGAATCAAGATTAGTGGTCATACTTACAGCAAATCTCTGTCAAATTCCTTTCTTGAGTTTTTTTTTCTTCAAATAGCCTCGGGCTTAAAATAAAAATTTGTTTGTTTGCAGTTGCCTACCGACCCACTGAAAATGCACCCGACCCAAACTTTTTTTTTTAACCATTGTGTAATAATATTTTTTTTTTCTTCAATTTTTTAGGATATTAAAACCATTTCATTTTCAAGTTTTGACTTTGTTTTTGTCAAACAGTGGTTTATAATAAGAGTGGAGCTTATTCTTGTTTAGAAGGCCTATGAAAAGCTCTCTTGTTCGTTACCTAACAAAAATCTTAAATCATTTTTTTTTTTCAAAAAAAAAAAAACAAAAAAAAATGCCTACCTACCTACCCAGTCTAAAAATTATAGGTCAGCAACTGCAAACAAAGAATTTTTTAAGCTTGGCCTCATTTGGCTGAAATTTCACCAAAAGACATGGTCTTTAATCCTTATATCTTTAGCTAAAAGCATTCCTTTTGAGATGTTCAAAACTCGGAATGTCTAGTTCATATTATTGTCTCCCTCTTTTGCGAAAGTGGAGGGATGTTAAATCTCATCCGTCTGTCTGTCTGTCACAAAACTTAAACTTTATCATAAACTTTGAATGGGAAGAGAAAGGACTTTCATATTTCACATGTGCCTTACCACTAAGACAACAAAAGGGGGGACCACAATTCTGTGAATTTGCTTGTTATGAATTCATCTTATTTTTTATTATTTTCAAGCTGACAGAGAAACACTCAGACCAGCTGAAACTAGGAAGTGAGTTGACAGCTCGATTCCCAAGAATGTACAAGTTCTGGGTTGGACCATTTAATGCCACTATTGTTTTGAACCATCCTGAGACGATCAAACAAGTTCTGAAATATGCAGGTCATTGTTTAAATATGTTTGGTATAAGTTTTATATACATTTAATATCTTCATTTCGATATGTCAGATTTCAAAGTACACTGTATCAAATCTTTGACTAAATCAAGCTAGATGTCAAAGATTGATTCTGGTGAAATCTATAAAAAATGTTTTGTTTTTTTTTCCAAAAAGGGTAATAAAGTGAAGAGAAGGTAAAAAGTTAATTAATACATGTTTTAACATGAAATATTTAATATGACTCAGGGTAAGTGAATATTGGTAAAATTTTCAAAAGATTTTTCAAAATTTTCATGTCATATGTGCCAGTGTGTTTAGATGCGCTATTTAATATTTTGCTTGGTGTAGTTTGGTTTTGAATTTGGTGTATGGTGAAAAGATGTCTAAGTAAAGTAAAGCAAATACATTAAAAGTATATACATGTAATACTGAGGACTAAACGACATTAAGGTTTTTAACCATGAACATGTTTAAAAGGATTTTTGAAGTTCTAATGCATTAAATAAAATGTTAACATTTTCTCAAGTATTGTTGATTTACAACAAAGTAAAGGATTTATTTTTGTTTGTAATAATTTAATGTGGATTAATGTACAATTTACTCAAAAATCTTGATGATTTACATAATTAGGCCTAACTGGAAAATCATAATTTTGTGAAAAACGCTTTTGCTAAATTTCTTGCTTCTTTCATCATGTTCATAGTGATTTCTTTATTTAATGTAGTTAAAAATATTCCCATCAATAAATTGCCTGTATGTAATTAATTAGTTTACCTGTAAAATGATTTTTCCAGTTTTGATTAGATGTGAACTGCTGCTGAAACTGTGTTTTTTCTGTGAATTTGTGGACCTTGGCTTTTTGTTAAGGTTATAAGTCAGCAATAAATGAACTTACTTTTAAGAAGAATCAGTTGATTAATTGATTATATTTTCTATAGATTCCAAATCCATGGGCTTTGGAGGAGCTTACCGCCATGTTTATCCTTGGCTTGGGGAGGGACTACTTTTAGCAGATGGACAGAGGTGGAGCCGAGCCAGGCGACTTTTGACCCCTGCCTTCCATTTCAAGATCTTGAAACCCTACATACACATTTACAACAAAGCTACCGATCTACTGCTGGTAACTAAATGTTGTTCCTGATTTTATGAACATTGATGTCAGAAACTGTCGGTAAAATGAAATCCATGTTTAGAATGCAGCTCTACTTCTTACATACCTGTTTATATTCATAGTTTTATTCTGTTTGCAAGAGTAACATGTAGTACATGTATTAACAATGTATTTGTTAATTAAGGTACTTCTGGTTAAATTTATGATTAACTCATCAAATTTAATGTTGAATAGCATTAACATTTTAATTCTTTAACTTTTTTGTATGAACTAAAATTTCTAATGAAAACAAATCTGTTTCATAGCAAAAGTTTGAACATTATGCTGAGAGGGGAGAAAGTTTTGACCTTCTGAAGGAGATGAGCTTATGCACCTTAGACATTCTTCTACAGTGTATCTTCTCCATGGAAACGGACTGCCAACAAAGGTTGCATTTCTTAGCTCACCTGAGTCGAAGGCTCAACTGAGCTTTTCTGATCAAAATTACCAGATAACCTTTTGTCACCATAATGGTTGTTGTCATTAACTAGCTGTTTAAACAATTTTATCTTTTTCTCTGGAACCACTTGGCCAACTTCAACCAAACTTGGTACAGATTATTCTTGGGTAAGGAGAGATTTACATTCACTTCCCTGAAGGGCCACACCTTCTTCAATTCTTAATTAAAAATTTATCTTAAAAATCTTAAAAACACTGGGCTATTGACTCATGTGAGCATTGTGGCCCATGGGCCTCTTATTTTAAATTTTGTGATTTAGATTTTGGTTACATGTTATTTAAAAGTTTTTTCCTACCTGTAGACATGTAAAGTGCATATTACATGTATTCTGGAGTAATCCGAATATATAAATAAATTCATTGGTGTATTTTCTTTTCTTTAGAGAATCTGACTATGTCAAGTCAGTTTTGAAACTTGGAGAAATTTGGAGCAAAAGAAATAGGTAATAGAGATGTTTTTTTTTAATTCTTTTGTGTCATATTTATAAAGATACAGTAAATTGTAAAATCATTGAATCTTGAACATCTATATCTCAGATATCATGTATATGAAATGCATAAGGTTTTACTTTTATTTGATGGACTCATTTTTATTATATATACAGTAAATATAGATATATATATATGTGTTGTAAATGCAAAGGTAATTTGGTTAACCCTTTATATTTTTACGTTGTTTTTTTTTTTATAGAAAACTATGGCTGTTTCCAGATGTTATCTTCTACAACACAAGATGGGGGAAACAATTCAAAGAGCATTGTTCCAAAGTCCATGACATTGCACAGAATATTATTAAAAGGAGACAGCAAGAAATTGTAGGTGTTCTTGTGACATTCTCTCATTTATAACAAAATGTCGGTTTGCATTTTCTTGACCAACTGACTAAAACGGTCAAATCCAAACCTTTTTTTGCCTCTGGGAAACAATGTTTTACATTTTTTCAAATTGTTCCAAAGTTTTCTCATCTATTAGTATACCCAATTTTTTTTATCCCGAGCATAAATATATTTTCTTTTGAAGAAGGCCTCAGAATATTTTTTTTCCTGCATTGCTTTTAATATATTAAGGCATTTTTTTATATATATTTTACAAACTCAAATTTTTAGGATCAATTAGATGGAATGGGTGAACGGCCATACTTAGATTTTCTGGATCTGTTACTGCAAGCGAAAGATGAGGATGGAAATAAATTGACTGATGCTGAGATCAGAAATGAAGTTGATACATTTCTATTTGAAGGTATATTCTCAAATGTTTGTTAGTATTTAATGCCAAAATTCATGATTTTTCTCAAATTTGATTTTAAAAAAAGGTAAATTTCCAAAATAATTTTTTTTTTTTTTTTTGTAAATCAAAATGAATGAAATTATTCTGCGTATCTCACAAAAAACAACCATACATATAATATTATAAAAAAAAAATTTCAATCACCAGCTGGCTTAATTTGAATGTAAATTTAATCATTTATGTACAGTAAAACTTGCATAAAACGAAGTACCAGGAACGGACGATTTTGCTTTGTGATGAATGTAATTCTTTATATGTGTTAGCATCACAATATGTTTTAAATCCACAGAAGATGAAAAATCACATCACTGTGAGCATCAGTTCATTATAAGCTTGACTGTATATACTCTATATACACATTCCAGGACATGACACCACTGCCTCCTCCATCAGCTGGTTGCTTCATTTGTTGGCCCAGCATCAGAACTATCAGCAGAGAGTCCAGCAGGAACTGGACAGGATATGGACATCAAAGTCAACCGAATATGTCCAGTGGTCAGTACATGTCTATGCTGTTTATAAGATGTTACAGTAAATAAGTTTACAAACAAAAATTACAAAACAAATTTTTATGTTGGTTGTTTGTGCTTTGAAGAAATAAATGCTTTTAACAATATATATAAAAGCTATCTGATACCTGTATTTCCAGCAAGAAAAAAGGGAGAATATTGATATACATATGTACATGTATATTCGTAAAATATTTTTGTATGAACTTTGCCATTTGTTTTAACAAAAATAATTAATGTGATGATTATTTCTATCTAATACTTGAAGGGAGGATTTACCTCATTTTGAGTATCTGACCATGTGCCTGAAAGAATCTTTAAGGGCATCATCCACAGTGCCAATCATCCAGAGACTAGTGCCAAGGGAAATAACTATTGATGGCAAAGATTTCCCACCAAACACTCTCTTCACAATAGCTATAAATAGTGTCCATCACAATCCAGCTGTTTGGAAAAATCCAGATGAATATCTTCCAGACCGCTTCTCCAAGGAGAATATTTCCAACATAGATAATTTTTCTTACATCCCATTTTCTGCAGGTCCAAGGTAAATTTATAATATCATGAAATCACTGATTTACCTACAGGGGGTATGATTTTGTGGTATGAAGAGACCTATAAAATCATATCCTCCATGAAATGTTTAAATTCATTCTGCAGTATAATGTTTCTCCTTCAACTACTGTATACAGGGTTATTTTCGCCCTTTCACACTTGCAAACAATTTTGCCCCATTTTAAATTCGCCAAGTCACAATTTTGCTTCAGAAAATATACTGTACTCTTTATTTAAATTCGCCTCTTTTAAAATTTGGCTGTCCGAGGCTAGGACGAAAGGGGCGAAAATAAAACAGGGATGAAAATTTCCCTGTATACATTATTTAATTATATCCCTGGATAATTTTTATCACACTAAAATAAAAGTTTTTACAGCACCCATGTTTTCTTTTATTCCCTTTTTATACAAGAAGAATACTTTTTAAAACAAATACTCATTTTGATTTAGGAATTGTATTGGGCAGAACTTTGCATTGAATGAAGAAAAGGTGGTCCTTTCAAGAATATTAAAAAAGTAAGTCTTCTTATTTCAAAAATGTAAAATCTCATCAATTGTGCAGGCCTGTTTCATTTGCCTTGGATTATTTCCAATGACGTTTGTTTGCCTTATTTAGTTTTTTTCTGTCTCTTTCTCTTTTCCAGTTTCACGGTGACGCTGGACCCAAGTTTTACTGTAGAGAAGAAGATTGGCCCTGTGTTGAAGGCAGAAAGTGGAATTCATGTGTTTCTCACCAAACGAAACATCAGATAGTTCTGATTTTATCAGCAGACTGTTACAGTAGTGCATTACCTTTGATATTGAAAACTTTTAATATTGAAAGCTGGGAAATTTATACTCACCACTTTTTGATTCTCCTGCAGCTTGTTTTAATACATTGTATTTACAGTTTTATGTGATTTTAAGGAAATTAGCTGTAAAGAAGAAGGTACAGTTTCAATACAAAAGTAAGCCCGATATTTTTCTAAAATATGAAAGTGATATAAGAAAACAAAATTCATTCTTTCTTAATCATAGAAATTCCCTGCAGCAAGAATACACAAATCGTTTTTCTCATATGACCTCCTTAATGCTAATTGTGACGTCATTAACTTGTGCATTTTCCCGTATTTTCTTAAAAAGTTGCAGAAGACATCAATTTTCAGTGGAATTTTCTTTCAGAAAACATACTCTGCCACCATCGCCCGGAAAGATTTTGAGATATGTGATTTTTCATAGCAGTTTACATAATATATCCAAAAATTAAAGTGGGCGACGGTGGCAGACACTATTTTCTAAAGGAAAATATATGCACAGAAATGAGTCGTTGTGAGGCTTTTCTGCATGAAACTTAGAAATGCACCAAAGTAATGACGTCATACTACCAGAAAGGTCCTCATCCATGCTATATTCTTTCATGATTTATCATATTCATCTACTCAACTATTGTTAAAGCCAATATCATAACTTTTTAAGACCATTCAATTTTTAGGGCACATTAAAGCTCAAACTGTACCTTCTTCTTTGTTTCAAAGTGGGTAAGTGACTTATTCTTCAAGTGCCAAGAAAAATAACTCATGCAGAGATGTAACCTTGTGATATTTTTCAAGAGAACAATTTGAAATCTTCACCAATAATACTAAAATTGGATGATTGTTTAATTTTTCACTTAAAGTATATGTTTATACATTCATTATGTTATTGTTTATGATTATAATACAGTTGTTAGTTTTTTTTTTTTTTTTTGTTTTGTTTTTATTTTTGTTTTCAATTAAGTTGTTTTAAAATTCATTCCTTACTCAGATATTTTGCAAAATTTTCTGGTAAAATAAAGCAATTAAAAAGTTATCAAACCATCAGTTTACATGTAACTGTGTAATTTGAATGACATGTTTTAACATATTTTCTTAATACTCATCAAGATATTCAGAATTTTAGTGTAAGCAGAAGCACTACAAATATTATACTCGGAGATACTATATCGCTTTGTACTATGATATTTTCAATATATGTGTTTGTATTGGTTATAAATAGCAATAGCTTCCTTTCTCACTGTAAATAATTGATAAACATGCAATTGTATGTATAAAATTATATGTGTCAGTATACATGTACCTACTTGCATGACAATAAATTATATATGCTTTAACACCCCCCCCAACTCCAGGATGCTAGAGGTCCATAGTGAGATACCTTTGACGATGTGTGTCACAGGTATATAAGGAGCATAGGGATGTTAACTGAGGCTTTTACTTGTAGGAGTACCCCCACCCCATACCCATGGCATATTAATAACTTATATGTATATGTTTGCTTATGTTAGCTTTGTTTTAAATTTATGGCATTGTCTAAAAAAATACAACAGTGTGGAATTTGCTTATGGCTCTCTCCTGAATGGAAGAGGATTGTACATTAAGGCCATGATTTGTGATGCATATATGGGGATATCTTTTAAGTAGGTACGAGATTATTAAAAAAAAAATTGTTTCAACTTTTTATGCCAAATGATAAGAGATATTTTACGTGGAAGCAATCTTCTGTTTTCGTTGCTAGGGAAGATGCACATTTTCATGGGGAAAATTGTGTCTCAAGGTGATTTTTTTTTTCTGGTTTACATAGTATTTATTTTCAGTTTCTCTGTTGTGTTCATTATTATTTCTGCCATGTACAGGACCTTTTTTAATGTTACCTGGGTGTTCTTTGTTATATATTTTTCTGAGGTATTTATAGTTTTATTGGTTATCATTTAATGCAATACTCAATATATCACCTTCTATAACTCTGCTTACAGAGAAGTCAGAAATATTTTACTCATGTTTTCTGAATGTACTGGAATATATTTTCAGGGTATATTGAACTATTTAATATGTAGAAGAATATTAAATAAAGAGTTTTTGGAACTCCTTTGCCTTGTTTTTCATGTAAAAGTTAACATACATGTATTTTAAAAAGGTGGTATTAAAATCCTCTGGATTGCCAATACATGTAAGAAAAAAAACTTTAATCTATTTATTTATTGTTTGTATCCCCCACCTCATCTCAAAAAAAGGAGGGGGTGTTATAGTTGTTGGAATGTCTAGCTGTCCATTACATATGGGGATAGCTATTCCTTATCTGCAACTCCTCTAATTTACACCACTGAATGCAATTAAATGAAACTTTTACACAACGTCTTTTTGCAGGTCCTATTTTACTTTTGATTAGATACATATTTTGGGCTGCCCGTAGTAAAACCTGACTTTGTCATTTCTGTTGTTCTAGGGAGTTGCCGTTATCTGACTCTCACAACGATATTTTCACAGAGCCTTTATTACCTAACACAGTTTTGCTCCGCCTATATTTTAAATTTTAATTGGAAATTTTGGGTTTGCCTTTTCAAAAAACAACAAAAAACATTCACTTTGTTGATAGACTTGAAAAATGGGGTACCCATTTGTTAAGTTAATTCCTCCTTAACACCCCCCCCCCCCCCGAATGAAATTTAGTGGAATTTTGCACAAAGTCTCATTAAAATATCGCTAAGAAATACATGTTGCTGTTATCATATTCATTTGGTTGTGTAAGGTATAATTTTGTGAGCCTAGTGCTTGCAGTACCTTTACTTTTTAGCATGTTTTAGTTCGCCTTATTTTGGGCTGAGCATTGTAGCCTATGGGCCTCAATTTAATACATTGAAATGGATAGATAGGTATGAAATTATAAAGTTATTATATGTTCCTAAAGAGTATTTGGTACATGTTCAGTGATTTAAACACAAGCAATATCGATTTATTTAAAACATTCTACAAAGCTGATTAAATAAATGTAAATCATATAAAAATGAGATACCTGATTTTTCGTAAGTACTACTTCATTGTGAAAGAAAGTTAACAGCAATTAGTTTTATAATTATGCGATCTCATTCGTTAGTTTCTAAAACCTAAAGAATGCATCCTTACTACTTCGGTGAGAATTGAAAAAATCCCTACCGAAGAAGAAAATAAGGATGTATCCCCCCCCCCGGCGCACCATGTTTCTGCAAATTGATTTATTTCCTTCTCTCGAAATAAATTACGAGTCTAAAAATATTTTTTACATTTCCGTTAAACCATAGTTCTAAATCTATACGCAAATATTCACAAGAGATAAAACTACAAATAAGGTAATAGCTTTATAACCTCATAAAGCAATTTGCTCAACTCGTGACAGAAATGCAAGCTTTTTCACATCGTCGGAAACCCACGGGTGATCTCGTCCTAACTTATCACGTGATCTTAAAATGAGATCACCCGTGGGTTTCCGACGATGGCTTTTTCATTACGTGTTGCTTGGTAGCTCACCTGAGCTGAAAGCTCAAGTGAGCTTTTCTGATCACCCATATTGACCGTCGTCCGTCTGTAAACTTTTTACATTTTGTACTTCTTCTCAAAAACCAATGGGCCAATTTAAAGCAAACTTGAAACAAAGCATCCTTGGGTGAAGGGGAATTTAAGTTGTTAAAATAAAAGGCCAAGTCCTCTTCTAAAGGTAGATAGTCAAGAAAATACAACAAGAGGCCCATGGGTCACATCGCTCACCTGAGCACTGTGGATAGGAATGAAATAGAAATTGGTTTATTATTGAAAAGTTTAAATCCAAAAGTAAACCTTTGACCAGTTATGGTTTTACTTTTCTTGAGAAAAATTTTAAAGAATTTTCCTATATATTTCTATGTAAAACTTTCGTCGGCCATCGTGGCCCCGCCCTACCCCCGGGGGTCATGATTTGAACAAACTTGAATCTACACTACCTGAGGATGCTTCCATATAAATATAATCAATTATGGCTTTGTTATTTTTGAGAGGAAGATTTTTAAAGAATTTTCCTGTATATTTCTATGTAAAATTTTGGTCGGCCATTGTGGCCCCGCCCTACCACCGGGGGTCATGATTTGAACAAACTTGAATCTACACTAACTGAGGAGGCTTCCATATAAATGTGATCAATTATGGCTTTGTTATTTTTGAGAAGAAGATTTTTAAAGAATTTTCCTATATATTTCTATGTAAAACTTTGGTCGGCCATTGTGGCCCCGCCCTACCCCCGGGGGTCATGATTTGAACAAATTTGAATCTACACTACCTGAGGATGTTTCCTCATAAGTTTCATCCTGGCACAGTGGTTCTTGAGAAGAAGATTTTTAAAACGTACCACCAAATTTTCATTAATTCCCAATTATCTCCCCTTGAATGAAGGCGTTGCCCTTTATTTGAGCAAACTTGAATCCCCTTTACCCAAGGATGCTTTTGGCAAGTTTGGTTGAAATTGGCCCAGCGGTTCTTGAGAAGAAGTCGAAAATGTGAAAAGTTTACAGACAGACAGACAGACGGACGGACAGACAGCTAGACGGACGCCGGACAAAATGTGATCAGAAAAGCTCACTTGAGCCTTTGGCTCAGGTGAGCTAAAAATAGGGTGGGGTCATTAAAAAAATCTTCTTCTCCAGAACCACTGGGCCTGAAAAGCTGAAACTTATGTGGAAGCATCCTGGGGTAGTGTAGAATCTAAATTGGTAAAAATCATGACCCCCGGTGGTAGGGCGGGGCCACAATAGGGAATCCAAGTTTTACATAGAAATGTATAGGAAAAAACTTTTAAAATCTTCTTCTAAAGAACCACTGAGCCAGAAAAGCTGAAAGTTATGTGGAAGCATCCTATGGTAGTGTAGAATCTAAGTTGTTCGAATTGTGACCCTTTGGATTGGGCAAGGTCAAGATAGGTATTGCAAAGGAGGAAATCTGTTAAATAACAGAATGGCCAAAGTTATTCAGGTGAGTGATGTGTCCAATGAGCCTTTTGTTTTCTTTTTGAATCAAAGATCAGGTCAAATAGTAAATAAAAAGAAATTTTGTCTGTTTTTGCGAGTTTTATGATAATAATCAATCAGTTTGTTCGCTTGATGATTTTACGCCTTCGGCGTTTATGCAATTTTTCATGCGAGCAAATTAATTGATCGTATCTTGAAGCAAAAAAATGGGGAAAAAATGGACATTTATTCCTTATTTCTATTATATATTTTTATTATATTATAGTTTATTATATAAATTGGCTGTTCAGGTACCAATTTTGTATTATCGACAGTCTCTAAAAATTAGGTCCTGAAAAATCCGTGTTTCACAAATAAAATCACTGTGTGTTTGCGCGAATTTGAGCATGAAACGACAAAATTAACTCGGGGCAAAATATTCAAAATAACATACGGGGCGTAGTGCTTTAAATGAAGATACGATTTCATAATCAGAAGGAATTTCATATTTTATAGAAATGTAACAATTAAAACTGCGGAAACGTAATATATTAAAACATTTAAAAATTGCGGAAAGGTAATATCCCACATTTACGTTTTCTCAAAGAAGTCAAGGGGGATTTACATGTTCCATAACCCGTCTCCCTTAAGTTGACAAAGGATTATAGGTGAATCTTTAAAACTCATACTAGTATAGATAAGTGTACGTAACATTTGATTTTTAAAGATCAAAAGACACTTATGTCAACGCCCACTTGACCTCTTAAATTATACTTACTTAATAGGTAAATCTGACCAAATGTTTCGTGGTCAGTGCACCTTTAATGTTTTATACTAAATATGCACTAATTAATCTGATCAAATACATTACATGGGCTGTGTCGACGAGACGTGGGTAGTGTAAGGATTACACTGTCGACTTCAATATCCCCCAAACCCTCGTATTTTAACATTAGATAAAATAACAAGTGCACATGTCCGTTGTCAGAAATTTTAATAATTTAAATCGGTAATATCTTGTTTTGTTGTATGGTGCACTATGTACATAGAGCATTTGGCGATCATTGAATTAAAAACACCCTTTTCGATTGATCGGGGTAGATGAGAAAACTGGGTTAAGACGTCCCGACAGAATCAATAAACGTGAAGTATAGAAGTGTTGACTCACACAATATAATGCATATTTTATGTAATCTCTTCAAGGAGTGAATCATTTTAAATGGTGTCTTCACAGAATTTCAAATTAATTATGTTGATATTTTTTTTAATAAAGTTTAATGAAATATACTACTAACAATCGATAACAAGAAATTTTGACAAAACATCAGTCTAGCCACATCGGGTTTTACTGACCTTAAGTCTTTAAATTAATGGACTTCATTTGTCTGAATAGCCTTTAAACAAAAGACAGTGTAAATCAAGAAATCTCGTTCGAATCCCACTTAGTCACGTGACATGGAGATGATGGCAAAACGCTTTTAATAATGAAAATCTACAAAATATCTACCGAATATGACGTACGTACATACTTCAAATCCCGTTAAGTTCATAAATTCAAGATGAGTAAATATAAAACAAGATGCATTTGCGAGTTTGTGCAAATTATCAAAGATATTTTGTAAAACACTAAAGACCTTTTTGTCAGCGCTCTATCATGGGTTAAATTAATTTTAAATAAACTCTAAATTTTGAACCCAGGTATATCCATATCTCTTCTAAAGACCCTATACAACAGTTGCTGTGAAACACCGATGATCTTTAAAATGAAAATCCTTTTCATTAATAGCGCAATACCCGATCTACCTCGCCGACGAATTACTGCTGGACGAGGCTGAGAGATACACTTAACAGACTGAGTGTCTCATCCGACCAATCGATTCCAAGATAAAGACTAAAAACCCAAACTTACAGGTACATCAGAATTTCACCGATCAAAAATTAGTTAGTGACATATATTTGTACATGTATCAATTCGAGCTTAGGAAGTATTGAGGTCGGAGTCATTTTTGACATCGGCTGACAGTGACAGTATTTTTGGATATAACCAGTTGTTTTTTGCCGACGTTGTCAATTTGGTAAGTTATTCATATTTTTGATTTTCTACTCTTTTTTCTAGTGCTTCATATTTTT